ACTCAGCAGGAACGAAGGGGGTAGGGTCATTACAAAGTGGGGGTGGGGGTAGCATGTCAAGCTGGGGTAGGGTGATACTTTGCGGAAACGTTTGGTGCTAAACGTCACAATCAGGCGTACTGGGGGGTACTGGGGGTGTGCATGTGGATTATGGTACATCAAGGGGGGGTGGGGTATAGAAGCAGGTGGAGAGTTTAGAAGGGAGGGGTAGGTAGGAGGGGAAAGGGGGGATGAGGGCTAGCTCAGGGATTTCTCCGAGGCGAACTCGGCAGAAAAGATTTAAGTGAAATGATCGGGCATGCCAGCTCACTGGGGAAGAGGAGAGGCGGGCTCGGATGTGCGAGTTGAGTGAAATTGAAGATCTAGAACCATCTCAACATGAGGCCGCGCATGCGAAATGCTAGTGGCGGGGAGGTGGCGGGGGAGAGAGAGCAGGGAGGGAGGGAGGGAGGGAAGAGAGATGATGAGGAGAGGAACGAAGAAGGAGAGAGGGTTTGAGATGTAGGATGACTGATTGTTGGATCACCTGCTTGAGCTCGCATGATGAAGCAACTGCTCATTTTGTCGCAGTTTGCGATGCTTATGATGTTTTATCGCGATAACGACGAACTTTTGTGCAAAGAAGGGTCGATTTTACAGTATTCTGAATGTTTGAAGTGATCGTACGAGGCAACTGAAGAATAGGGGAGGGACAGAGATTCTCCTAAGATATGCTTCCCAAGGCGTAGATTTAAAGGCAGGGTAGAGGAAGGAGGTAGATAATAGTTGCTGTTAGGTTGTGAGCGTGGCAATGACATCATATGAGACGAAGAAGCAAACAGTATGAGATGTTTCCTAGAAAGACTTGGTTGCTGTTTCCTGACCCTGTTGTCACTGCAATGCAGGGCTTTAGCAATGTGGACATCCACGAATTGTCGGTGGCTGTGGAAGGCGGCGATGCTGTCGCTGCTGTGCCTGCTGTTGGACCTGGAGGGTGCGAGCGCAAAGAAGAAGAAGGACTACTACACCATGCTTGGGGTGAAGAAGAATGCCGACGAAGCGACTTTGAAGAAGGCCTATAGAAAGTTGGCCCTCAAGATGCACCCCGATCGTAACCCGCCCGAGAAGAAGGAGCAGGCCGAGAAGGATTTCCGTGAGATGTCCGAGGCATATCACGTCCTCTCCGACCCCGAGAAGAGGAAGATCTACGATCAGTTCGGAGAAGAAGGACTGAAGGCGGCCGAGTCTGGTGGATCTCCCGATGGGGGTGGAGGATTCCCAGGTGATGATGTCATCATAAGCTCCCTCCATCTCTCCCTCCATCCCTTCCATCTCCCTGCCCTGTAACTTCCTATGCAGGTGGTGGATTCGGAAACTTTCACTTCTCGAGCAGAGGAGGAGGAGGAGGAGGAGGATTCCAAGGATTTGACGCCTTCAAGATGTTCGAAGAGTTCTTCTCAGGAGCTGGAGGAGGAGGCTTCCAGTTCACCATGGAGGACGACATGCCCTTCGGAGGTCGTGGCGGAGGCAAGAGAGGGAGAGGCAGAGGAGGAGGAGGAGGAGGAGGAAATCCGTTCGGAGCGGGTGGAAATCCGTTCGGAGCGGGTGGAAATCCGTTCGGAGCAGGAGGTGGCGGTCCATTCGGAGGAGCAGGAGGGAATCCATTTGGGTTTGGAGGCGGAGGCATGCCGTTTGGTGGTTTCGATTTTGGAGATGGAGGAGGAATGCCTGGTGATGCTGGTGGGCAGCGAGGAGGACGAGGGCAGCAGAGTCAGGCCCTGTATGACAGTAACTCGCCGTAAGATGTGGAAGCGATGGTGGGCAGAAGCTGACATGACATGCAGGGTCAAAAGCCTCAACGCCAAGAAGTTTCCAGGCAAGGATGCGAAGCACACGTGGATCGTGGAGTTCTACGCGCCGTAAGGGCACCGGGCGAGCGTTTGTGTGAGAGTGACTTGTGATAAGGTGGTGTGGACACTGCCAGAAGCTCAAGAGCAGCTGGGAGAAGCTTCCGAACGCCTTGAAGGGAGTCGTCAAAGTTGGCGCCGTGAACTGTGATGACGACAAGAACAAGCCACTCTGCAACAGCGAGGGTGTGGACTCCTTTCCTACCATCAAGTTGTACAAGGTGCGCACACGCTGTGCAAGTTGTCAAGTTGAAAGTTGTTTTGCAGTCTGGAGGCAGAGGAAGTGTTCCCTACGAGGGCGCGCAGACTGTCAAGGCGCTTCACGATTTTGCCCTCGAAAATCTTCCCTCGGAGGTTGTGAATCTAAGTGAGTCAGCACTGCCAGATGCATTCCCACCTTCTCCAGCTCATGCTGACTTTGCCTGTAGGAACTTCTCCGCAACTCAAGGCGTTCAGGGAGGAGACTTTGAGCAAAGCGTAAGCTCTCCCTTGCTCGGCTCATCATGTCAGTAACGCTCGCTCGTCAGAAAATCTGGATGTGGAGCCATCCTCTTCACTGACAAGTATGAGACTTCACCCCTATACAAATCAATCTCAACGCAATTCCACCCAACGTTCGTCTTCGGAGAATCCAGGTCAGGAAATCTACAGTATCTCCGCTACTTTCTCCTGCTCACTGTCCTCACCGCTTTCGCTTTGCTGAGCCTTGGTATCCTTGCAGGGCGAGCAACCAGAAGCTGGCTGATGAGCTGGGAGTGACCGCATTCCCAACACTTGTCTTCATGTGCGGAGCTGGAGGAACAGAGGTTCTTGATATCCTTGCAAGCTCAGTCTGCCTGAATCATTTTGTGCTGCAGGTGGAATTCTATAAGGGCGAATTGAAGTCTGAGCCTCTCGACAAATTCTTCACAGGCAAGAAAAAGAACAAGAGATGAGTTTCATCCAGACCAGACGATCAACCATAATTATGTTTTCCGTGGGTTCGAAGGCCTAGAATCTCCAAACACTCCTGCAGTCATGTAAATCTTGTCTTCTACCTTTAGTCCCTGTCCACACGTGTCTGCGTGCACAAGGGTAGTGATTAGTCAAATTCAAAGTGAACCAAAAACAACTTTACCCCGAAGTCTGCTTCCTTTTGACTCCATTGCTACGATCATTTGGCTCGTCGAAAACTTGAAACGATGTAGGACTTTGATCGTTGAAAACGTCATCAAAGTGTTCATCATTTACACCTTCACAAGTATCAAACGAGAATCTCATCAGATTTTCGTGCAATCCAGGATCTGTACGCGAATTGTTACGACAGAATTTCTTCCAAAACATCACCTTCAATGTCGGAAAGGCTGTATGGTATACGAGAGAATTGAATTTCATCATGAGGTGACCCCGACACCGCACGACATGCCTGTGACCAGTCTGTCCCGTGCTGGGGCAATTTTCTGTCACTGCCTCCTACGTTGACTTCTTGAAATTGAATTTGATTTAAGTCCTGATCTCTTGTGCAACCACTGTCAATGAGCTTCCACTCTCTTTGTACAAAGGAATTAGTTGAAAAGAAAAAGTCGAGTGGTCTTTGCGGCAAGATTTTCCCAAGAGCCGACCGAAATGTCGGATCATAGGCCGTCTGAGCTAGAATATTTTCAATTCCTAGATCAAATTTCTCCATTGCATCCAGAATTTCATGAATCATGAAAGTGTTCAGGCTGGGGAATAGATGAAGGGTTTCTATGTCTAGATCATCTCGTGGAATGCTCCCACACGCTGGTCTTGCTTGTAGATCATCTTTGTTGCAAAGGCATACCATCTGGTTGCTAGGGATCCACCCTGCCTGTTCTCCACACGTGCTCTCAATTGCGATGCGCACACTCAATGCGAGCTGACGCAAGTTAAACACCTTCGATTCAAGTTAGACTTGGAGCAACTCTTTCATCACTCACCTGACGCAAATGAATTTTCACTCCATAGCATTCGAAGATGCCAAACAACTTCATCCACTCTTCACCATCTACGCTTGAATCAGCAGCTTGACCAACTTGAGTCCGAATCAAGATCCAAATGTGATCGCAAGCGCTGCAGATGAGGAACTTCAAACTGTGCTACACAACCAAGACGTGAAGCCTCAAATCAACCTTGCCAGGTCTAATATTTGAAGGAGAAGAGAATTTACACCTTGAAAGCAGCATAAAATTATGGTTTCAGGAAATGTTCAGTATTTGTCTTTACCTGTCTCAATTTGATCTGTAATGCTTGTTTTTAGGTCTTCAAGATCCTTGATACTATCATCATTTCATAAGGAAGGCAAAATTAACCAAAAAGCAAGGATACAATACATTATGCAAGCATCCAGCCCAATCAGTATGTCACAGCGCAGATATGCATTTCCGAAAACATGAATATTTTCTTGTTCCATGCACTTGATAAGTTCCTCACAACCCTGAATTTCTTGATTTACGTAAATCTCAATTTTAGTAGACCTTGGAAAGAAAGCATTACTTTACAGAAAGTCGAATCATTCACATTTATCAAGTATAACCGGTGCAAGATGAATCCACAAGCATCTTCTGGCAAGTCTCTCCACAGATGTTCTGCTTTTGTGACCACTTGCACTTGGTTGTCATAAGACTTTGCTCCAGACATGAGAAATCTGTCTTCGATAAAGGGCTCAACTGTTTCCAGGACAACAACATGATCGCAATAATCTTGGTTTAAGAGTAGTTTGACTCCAGAACTTGGCTGCTCAAAAAGAATGACAAGCCGAAAGTGAGGCATGTATTCTTGGCTCAACTGTAGAAATGCATGCTCTGTAAAAACAAGTACTTTGTTCGATCTTGATTCCAAAGAGTTTTTGCAATCTTTCACTCTCATTTTCACGTCGCGAGCACAGTAAAATTCAAGAACAATTGGCAATCCATACAGTGCAGTTGAGATATCGTGGAAGAGAATGCTTGACTTTACCAGAATCAAAGTCGTTGGATCAATCAGTTTGCTTTCCTGCTAAATTTTAATATGTCAAAGTTTCAGTAAGAACACGTCAGAGGTGAATCTAAACCTGATTAGCAATAAGCGACCTTGTCACCTCAAACTTTGGATGTCGTTCATTTTGATCTTGCATTGAATTGAGTCTGTACAAAATCTTGAAATTTGCAAACCATGTAAGGAGATTGTTTGCTTAGTCAAGTTTCACCTCTGACTTAATGAGATCGGGCGCGATTGTATCTATCACTTGTTTCCAATTTAGATCCTGTTATCAACGATTTTTCAATCTCTTTCAAAGCTTTCTGACAAAGCAAGGTGTTACCTCGAGTGCAGATGCAATAAATAAGGCCGAGACGTGTGAGCCATAGTGCATCAGAAATTTTTGGCACTTATTCAAGAGATACACCAACATAAGGGTAGACCATGTTGAAATAGCTGTACATTTTTCGATCGAGTTCTTGGATTTGTGAATGTTTGAACGAGTTTTTTCAGCCATCGCAAGAATGTAGTTACAGTCACATGAAATGGAAAAAAAGTCGTGCCTTACTTCGTTGATCTCGGCTAGTTTTTCCAGTAATGCGATGATTATGCAACGCAAAATGTAGTTTGTCAATGCAAGCGCAGAGTTGCTTGAGACCTGCACTTTGATCTCATTCATACCATTCTCGAGTTGTTTTCCAGAGCCTTTCAACAAAGAGGTTTCATTGAATGATGTCAAGCCCTTGGCCGTCATGAACATGTCCAGATCTTCTTCAAGACTAGTGTTAATATCGCCAATTTGGATATCATTTTCCACTTCAGATTTGAGGACGGCATCATTTGCATTTGCACATTGTTCGGGTTGGACCTCTTCGTCCTTGATTGTGTCCTTGAATTCTGGTACCTCCTCTTCAGGATGTTCAAGGTTTTGTCTGTTTATGTCTGGATCTAGCAGTGAAACACCATGACTTTCTGTATCAAACTCAATCAAGTACTCATGAATCATTTGAAGAAATCCTGTTGTAGTAGGATGGTTTTTTCGAAGTTCACAAGTACATAGCGATTGAAGCAAGTGATCTTCAATGCCTTCTAGGAACAAGTCATGGGGATCATCGGTTTTTAGAAATGCTGCAATGAGTTCCGGAGGGCAGCTGGCATGATCATAATCTTTTGATAGTTTCAATACGATTTCAAACTTGTTGCCATCACACATAGTTTTCTCATCCTTTGAATGTAAAATTGTTTCATAGTCTGTGAATTTGTTCAAGGGCCTTGAAGTAAATATCTCCATTTCATTCAAGAATTGAGCTGATGTCCGAGGAGAAAACAATTCCTCGAGATCGATAAGAGGTGGAAAAAGCGAAGACAGGTCATTGTCAATCGATTGTTGTTTCTTGTCGTCAGTCGATGTATGATTACACATTGCTTCAAGGAGGAGATCTTTACCAGCTTGCTCAACACAGCCTTGACTTGAAAGATGTAGATGATTGTCACATTTTGTTATCATGTCAAATTCCATGGTAGCAGCCTCGACCTAAACAAAGAAATTTATTTTGATAAGTGGAAACTGGTTAAAAATTACCAAGATTAAGTCCATTGGTCTGTCTCGTGGATTGATGGTATCATTTCTATAAAATGTGCTAAGGGGTTCTGAAGGGTTGACAAAGAAGGTTTCCTTGACGATGGGAAGGACATTGATTGTATTGCAAAACCAAGCATGCAACGGCTGTGACTTCTCCTCCTTTGGCATCGCAAATTGTGCAAGGTAGTCTTCATTTGCAAAGTTCAAACGATTCCTTTCAAGGCAACATGCCGTTATCTCAAGATTACTGTCGAAAAGCACGGGACACAACATGAATTTTTTAGATCTGAGTATTTTGGTGGAAGTTTCAATCAATCCTGTTTCTGCTCTCTGCACTGCAGGTGAGCCTGTTCCATTTTCTCCATCCATGACATGTTTCTGTGCTCCTCTGTACAGCACAGAAATGCAGCTATCATATGATAACTCTACTTCTCTTAAATCTTGCGCCTGTAATGATGCATCAATCGCCTCATTGCCTTGCGAGATGCCAATATCTGGTAAGGTCAATGTCAGGAATGCAGCTTTGAGTTCCTGCGGGTCCCCTTGAGATTCTTCCTGTATACAGCAGTTCGCAAGTTGTTGTTTCGAGTGCATTTGATATCCGTCAGCATGCAAGTCTTTCATTGCCTCCACCATCCCGCCATCATCCCATACTGGCGCTGCTCGCGGCAGCTTACAAGCTGCAGCCATGGACCCAACCCACAAACTTGCGAAAGCCCGCCAAACATTCGACCCGGCGGAGGCCCCCGGTCGGAAGCGGCGGGCCGGGCCCGGGCGTGACTGGACTCGTAGTGCGCCGTCGGAGGGCGCTGGTCATAGTGCTCATAGTAATAACCGTCACATAACGGTCGGTCATCAGCTGAACGTGCCCAGTCTCTGTTCCTGCTCAGGCCCTACAGAGAAGGTCGTAAGGGGTGGGGTACTCGCAAACTGTAAAGTCTGTGGCATGGGTGGGGTACTTGACCATCTAACAGTACTAGTCGAGATCCCTTGGTACCCCGTTCACCCCTCTAAGTTGCTCACCACCCTACCCTACTTTCCCCAAAGTCACTTTCCTTTAAACCTACTGGCTGGCGAAGATGGAAGAGGGTGGAGACAGAGGAGGAGCTACAGAGAGCTGAGATGAGCTAGAAGACTCAGGACAGGAAGCTAGCAAGAGCAAGAAGAAGCTCAGAGAAGGTTCGAGGAAACCCCCATTCGTGCGGAGGATGCATCATATTCCTGATCATCGCAGATCAAACCAAGAAGTTGCTGCGCAAGTTTCTCCCCGTGGCCCGTATTTGTCACCTCTGCCACGAGTTCCTCAACATCCTCACGTTAAAAACGTCTCGGGGGAGCAAGTCTTGAGCCTGGCTCCTCCATCCCCGACTATTCGGACGGGAAACCCGGGCGCTCTGAGGAGCTTGAGAGCAGAACTCTTTCATTTCTTCCTCTCTTACAGGGTCTCGACCGATGGAAGTTTGGTAGAAGGATTGTACCAAGAGATATTGAGCATGTCCATGGACCAGCGTCCCCTGCCTTTCGGCGCGAGGGGAACATGGCCACGGTGTGCGGAGAGGCCTTTCCGTGAAGTTCAGAATGGAGTGAAGGGCTTTCTGGACAAATTCTGTCTGGTGGATGGTAAGGACTGGGAAGCAGGGTTCGTGCTGGGCCTTGTACACTCCTTGCTGTTTGTTCCGATGCTATCCTTCTACGAAGAACTCGACGAGACAACACAAGTGAAGCGCTTCACCGGATCCCTTGGTGGCCTGGTTGAGCTAGGTCACAGCGATCGAGTTGACAACGTGTTGCTGGAGTACATCATAGCGATCGAGCTCTGCCGCAAGGAGGGTACACATGTGCAATCTATCTTCCCCATCCTCCTCAGTCCCCGCAGAGACGACGGCACCTTCTCCGAGTTCTTGTGGTCGAGCTTGCAGTTGTTGCCAGAAAAGCCCTCGCACCTGACCAACGAGAGAGCAGCCATGATTCTTGCCATGCTCGACGTGGAGGAGAAGCAGATTGCACAGATGAAGCAGAGAAGCATCAAGCAGACGGTCGAAATGATCCTCAAGCATCAGGCCTGCAAACTGTCGGATATGAAGCAGGACGATCAGGTGTACGACTTCTGTGCCCGCAAGATACTCGATGTTGTCCTCAGAGACATCGAACGCCTGCAGCTGGACCCGAACGACTTCGCTTTCAAGACGCCAGGAGGCAGCGAGGTACTGCAGTGGCTCAAGGAGCGAGGTCTGCTGGGTCTGGCTCCCATGCTTGTCAAGCATCACGTAGACTCGCTGAACAAGGCGGCCAACCTCACCGACAGCGACATCCTCGACATTTTTCGATCCGAGCGGAGCAAGCAAGACGAAATGTCCTGCCCCAAGGGACAAGAGCTGTCTCTCCGTCTGGCTATCGCAGATCTCAGAAAGGACAAGCGGGCAAAGCCATACTCGCAGCGACTGTTGGACTTCCGGGACTCAGCGACGGCCATTGGAACAGCTGTGTGGACCACAAACGCGATAGAGATCGTCTGCTCCAAGTGGCAGGGGCAGTACATGTTTGCTGTGCTGGCACTTGTATGCGCTCTCATCCCCTTCTTCACCCTGGGCGATAAACTTCTAACCACCTGGCAGTCGACAGACTACCATGTGGTGCTGTGGTTCAAGGTCGTCTACTACTTGCCTTTCTGGATCTCAACCTCCCTTGTTCTCGTGAAAAGTGTTTACGAGGCGAGGTATGTACGTCCGCACAAGGCCCGGGCCACCCTCAAGGCTCAAAGTTTCCGCTGGAACTTGTTGTTCTTGATAGGAGTTGTCGCCGAGATCGCTCAGATTCTCGCAGGCCAGCATGAGCCCGGCTGGACAGTGGCCGATACCTTGAGTGTCAACGGAATCGCCTTCGAGCTCATGTTGTTTCTGCCAGCATCTATGCTCGTGTACCTGACTTTCGAGTATCGAGAGGAGTACTGGGTGCCTAGTTGGCTGATGCTTGCGATCGTGGTATCTGTCACGTACTCGTTCATTTGGAGAGCGTTCCTGTGGTACTTCATGACGACCGTCTTCGTCGCTGTCTTCACCTCCTCGCTCTTCACCTACTTTGTTGTCATCCGGATCAAGACGATCGGGGAGGCTCGACGGAAGCTTGGTTTCAATGTGAAGCGGTACCTCGAGGAATGGAGTCACTGCCTTCAGGCAACAAGCAGCGTCGACGCCCCTGACGTAGGACGCGACTTAAATCATAAGGGAGTCGGTCGGGTCCTGCACAGCCGTCGGCTGCACCCGGTCATGAGCGTTGAGCCGCAGGCCACTCGAGGAGCGCTAGAGGTCTTGTGGGAGATGACATCAGCCATAGAGCTACAGCTAGAGCAGCAGTATCGCTCCTGCCAAGCTCGCGTTCATCCCTGGACACGATTTTGGCAGGACAGGAACAAGGGCTTCGGGCGATTCAAGAGCAAGGAAGGCGAGAGGGGGTACGGCAAGATCAGGCAGCTGTCCTCAGACTTGGACCAGCTGTACCAGCAAGCAAGCACCATCAACTCAGCTGTCCACGACCTCATAGCTGATCTCCTCACCCCGCTGCAGCATCACAGCGGCAGCTCTCATCTTGTCAACAAGTATCCCATGCTCGTCTACGGCCCCGTCAAGCAACCTCAACGCGCCATCGAGAAGTGCGTGAGGTCGTACAGGCGCGACGTCGGATGCCTCACTGACTTGGTTCGCTGCACTATCGTGGCCGAAAGCATGGAGCAGCTGCTGCAGGTTCTTCATACGATCCGATTGCGATCGGTCATCGGCATCGCGCCAGTCAATCGGGACGAGGACTGCAAGCTGTCTGTGGATGCAGCCAGTCAATCCGCTAGCGAGAGCCTTCCGGCACAAGCTGGGAACCAAAGTTTCCTCTCACGCGCACAGCAGCTTGTCCTCAGCAGTCTCAGCAGCAGGAGCAGGAGAGAATCAGAGGGAGAGAAGCAGCTGGAGCTGATGAGGGGTGAGGAGCAGGAGCAGGAGGAAGGGGGCAAGAGCGAGAGGTTCTTTCGGATAACGCAGGTTAAGAATCGGTTTCACTCGGACAGCCATCACTTCAATCCTATGACTGGCTACCGCGACCTCTCCCTCAACCTCGAAGTCGGATGGACTTTCAGCCGAAACTCAGTCATCTTTTTGCCTGTCGAGGAGTGGGAGCAGGGAGCGGTCGATCGATACATCATCGAGGTTCAGGTAAGAGCCATGCTGGCCTTTGCTGCGATGACGGTACCTGCCAGATCCACTTCAAAGGTTTCTATGACATCATGAGCAAAGCAGGCTTCCATGACTTCTACTGCGAATGGAGAGATATCATGTCTCGCTAAACCCTCTGCCTTGCTGCCTTGTTCCTGTTCCTCTTGGTCTTGTGAGCGAATGGAAGCCAGCAGTAATAAGTTTTGAGTGTCGACTGGCTTGTTTGGATGATAAAACATGTCAATTTCTTCGATTGATCATTGGTAGGATGCAAGTTTCAAGCATAATGCTTGCGTGCTCCTCCTGTACACCGTGTCTTCTCGATCGATAGAGGTTGAGATACGATCAATATGCTTGACTTAAGATGGTGATTTTCCTCCCTGATGATTGCTGGGGTTCATCTGACCTTGTTTCTTGGTTTGAAATGTTGTTGAGATACTTCCAGGATGTAAGTTTTGCACATTGCATGCAGTTCAGTAAGCGACCTGTCGAGTATGTGCCATGACAAGCTTCATGAATGCTTTGAGTGCTGATGTACGAACGAACACATCCTGTCTACAACTAGGACGCAGACATCGCAAGAAGCAGCCTGAAGAGAGAAAGGAAAAGCAAATAAAGGAAGGAAGGGAACAACAAGAGAAGACCAAGGAAGCAAAGCAGCATAAAGAACAGGAAGAGGAGGTTTGCAAACAGGAAGACGAGCATTTGATCACTGCGAGAGGAAGGGGGAAAGGAGGGAGCGGAAGGAGAGTTGTAATCTTATAGCTCCCGATCGTACCAACATGTGTTGTTCTCAGCATTTTGATTGCTTTACCAAACGCATCGACGTAATAGTTCTTGTCGGTTTTTTTAGCACCTCAATCTGTGACAAGCGTCTCAATTACTTGTCCTCGTCCATATAATTTTTCTGCAGCTCTTCTCCAAGCCTCATGGTCTCCTGTATCTCGCTCTCACACAGATCTCCTGTATCTCGGTCTCGTAGAGCCATGTCGCTTCGCTGCTCAACATGTTGCTTGATCAGCCAGGACGTTCTCGTGTTGTTTGATCTCGGCTGCGAGCTCCATGAACCACCGCACAAGATGCCTGCCCCATGGAAGCCAATGACAAGACATGCAGGTTTAGGGCAGGCCCTGCCAGTCATGCAGCGAGCAAGATGAATACCAACGACACAAGGCGCACCATCACAGCACTACAAGGTCGTGCCAAGCGCCGTTCGAGGAGAAAACAAGTCCTCGAGATGGATAAGAAGGGGAAAAAGGTTGTGACCCATTGCTTCAAGGAGGAGATCTTTACCAGCTTGCTCAACACAGCCCTGACTTGCAAGATGTAGATGATTGTCACATCTTAGTATCATGTCAAGAAGTTCACGTTTTGAGCTCCTGCGGGTCCGCTCGAGATTCTTCCTGCAGGGCTGGACCCGGGACCTCGAGTCCGCCTCAGCACGAGTCTTAAAAATGAGCAGAGCTGACATTTTTAGGGCCGTGACGGTCACAGAGTCACGTTCAGTCACAAGCTTGCCATCCCTTCATCGCTATAAATGTACTAATAAGTGTTCACTGGTACTAATAAGTGTACCATCACTTCATCATCACTCATCACTCCCTGTAGTAAATAAGAAGTGGAGGAAGATGTTGAGTAAACCTTTCTCGTACAACATGAGATGACTAATAATTATCAGACGGTCGTAGGTGACCCCTCAGGCTAGGGGATCGTTTTTATAAAATTTAAAAGTCACTGACAGTCGTAGGACTGAAAACTTTCCTTTTCGATTTTCATTGCGACAAAGCATTCGCCATGGCAACGCAGCATCCTGCCGCTACAGGGCCAACCGTCCTCGTCCAAGCTCGCCCCCGTGACTCCGAGCGCCGCGATCATGTTCGCCTCGACCTCGCAACAGTCTCTTCCCTCTATCACCTCAGGCAGATCGAAGCTGCTCAGTTCTTGGTAAGCCTTTGGTTTCCTCATAATGTTTGCGAGATGATATGGGATTTGGGCTGACGGGGAGGCGGCAGGGCATCTCGCTGACGTCACTCAAGAGCGCATGCCGGAGACTAGGTGTAGAGCGATGGCCTTACCGGAGGGAGACAGCACAGGAAGCTGTAGAAGTTGTACCGGACAGAGACGATGGAGTAGGTCCAGCCTTCGAGGATGCTGGGGGGGTTGGACTGGAACCGCAGGAAGAAGGCGAAAATGGGGTGGAGGAAGGGAGCGAGATGGAAGGAGGATGGCTTGAGTGGTACATGTCTTTTCCCCTGGGAGGAACTGACGATGATAATGTTGAGAATAGCGGGCAGCAGATCTCTCTAGGAGCAAACCTGCACAGGAGCCAAGAAAGCCAGGGGGGAGAAGGGGAGGCATGTGTGATGGGAGCCATTCATCTATAGGTAGCGATCTGCCAAAGAGGCAATGGTCTGATAATGATGAATACTTCTGTCTGTCTATACGGCTGTTATAAAGACGCGCAGTTGAGCACTTGTCCTGTTGACTTGATGTGTGATAGCTTGTCCGATTTGTGCGACCGGACTCGATCATGAGTTCGAATGCATTACAGTCCGTCTCAATCAAATTTTGTAGATGCTTCCTTCCTTGTTACAAGAGATCTGTGCAAGATCTGAGTTCTAGCGCGATGATGCAAACGCGCAATCCAAGGTTCTGTGCTGCTTCCGGGGCAAAACCTAACAATTGTCATCGGCTGATCTGAAGCCGGTAAACCTGACAGTGTGATCGAAGTGAAGAATCTAAACAACGCAGTCAATGGGTAAAAATTCGTTGTTGCCTTTGGATGCAATTTAATAACATGTTACCGATCTAGTTTGAAAACTCGACTGCGTCTACCGTTTTGCGATGGATGCCCGGCCACGGTGTTGCCCCATTGCAGCTGAGGAACTTACTAGTTAGGATGGGGCCGGGCAGCTGCTGCAGTCTGTTACGTTGGAATCAACGGATGTGTTGCCCCATTGCAGCTGAGGAACGGAGTTAGGAAGGAGCAGCTGCCGCAGCTGCTCATGTCCCTGACTGAAACACGCTCACGCTCCTCGAGCGACATCTCTCGCCCTGCCTCAAGGATATGAAAAGACTCATGTTCGTTGCTGGGGGAATGGCCCCCTTAATTTGCTTCTCTTTGCAGAGGCCCAAGTTGACCTCAGTGTCTCAGATAATTGCCGACTAGTCACTTTGCTGACAGTCATACCGTGACCTTCACACAGTGTGACAGGCTCCGAGAATACCGTGACACTCGGATCCGGGACCTTCTCATCATGGCAGCCTGTGACCGGACTCGGTCCCGGCCGGCGGCCGGGCCGGGCCGGGCCCGGGGGCCCGGCCGCCCGGGCTGCCACTGACCGGCGTCGGACGGCCCGGTTGGACTCCGTGACTCGGGGGCCCGGGCGCGGCCCGGGGCGACCGTAACTTGGCTTTAATGGTCCGATCCCGAGTCCGATCGGCGAGTCGGACGACGGTGGACTCGACCCCGGCCCGGTCACGCCGCCGGGTCAGTCAGTGGGGCCACCCGCTGGTGGCCGAGCCTGTGACTGGCCCGGCGGCCCGTCACGGACCGGCCGCCGCCGGCCGCGGCCGCGCCGCCCGGGATCATGGCATATCATATCATAGCCCGGCTAGTAGTATGCCGCAGAAGGATTGCGACCCCGGGCCGGTACAACTGAGTAAGCCAGGCTCTGGTATCATGGTCATGTCACTGGCACGGGCCGCCGGGCCGGGCCCGGCCTCCGGGCCTGGCCGCGCCGGGCGCGCCGCCGGGGCTGGGCCAGCCTGATCGGACGGTTCCGACCGTGACTGAGTCATCAGTGCCACCGTTGCACAGACGGCCGTGCCGGGCAGCCGGCTCCGCCCGGCCCGGCAGACTACGCCCGGTCTTATCCAACATTCGGGCGTTTCAACTTCAGTTGAAAGTGGCTCACAGCCCGGCCGGGCTAGCCTTTAGACTCAGACGGCGGAGACTGCCGGATACTGAGTTCCGACTTGTGCAGTAACACAGGGATGGGCCGCGCTTCTTCATCCGATTATAGTTGTATAAACACACAGGGACAGCAAACATCCCTACGCCCGTCCCGGCAGAGTCCCTTCGAAAGTTCCATCATAGTACCATTAACCAATCTAAGAGTCCGACCTCCTGGCGCTTGCAGGTTGTACAAAGCAACCTGAGCGCGCTCACACCATCTAACATCCTCACGTGACGCTGCACTTAGTCTTGCGGCTTTTGGCTACTTTCGTATAAAGTGATGGCCAACGAAGACTTTCCTCCCGAATGGAGTGTCACCTTGAAACAGGATTACATAGCTGCAAAATCTGACAATCTCACTCACCAGCTCCGCTGCCTTTGCCGGTGATTTCTGAAATCGGAATCCTGTATGCTCCCTCGAGAGACAGAGCCGGAAATCTTCCATGCTCAGTGGTGTTGCTAATCGCAGATTAAGAGAATGTCCTGCAAGAAGTAAGCTGCCTGTTTGACCTACTGACACTCTCACCAGGAGGCAGGTCTTGTACAGAATCAACATCGGAAATGTCAAGCCTGAAAAACCGCCTATCCAAAATTCAGACAGCACTGCGAGATCATGTCGAGATTCAACCTCCCAGTCTCATGCAACTTGACTCCTTGCGGACCATAAGCCCCTGAATGGAACTCGATGGGGGCCAATCGGTAAAGTCTGTGTGCACTTGAGTCAGACACTCGAACAGGAAGCAAGGAAGAGTGGGTGCCTGTCTCTGAAGTCCATCCCAGTCTCCTCATACAGCTCTCGGGCAGCAGCAATCCTAAGTAACGAGTCATGAGCTAAGGCAGCGAGCGATGCTTCATCTTGTGCGCTCGCTGAGTACAGGCTAACATGCAGCACTGAACATGATTGACAAGCACACTCCTCTGTTAGCCATGTGTCCAAACCAGAAGAGCCATGTCAAAGGCCCTGTGGCTCTACTAATGGCTTGAAGCATCCACCAGCAAGCAAGCAAGCAAGCAAGCACCATCGTCACACCTGGATCCTTCATCGATGCCATACTGAGAAATTTCATGAGCATCCACATGACCCCCTGGCAGTTGGAAGTGTCGGCCTCCCTTACGCTTTTTGTTTGCCTCCAGTAGCAGGTAGCCATACTCGGAATGCTTTTGGGAAGTCAGAAGGAAGAAAAGCAACCCCATTACCAACCTTTGCAATGACAAATGCCCGGTATCCACTATCCCCCACCACCTTGATGAAATCGTGACCAACAACCTCTTAAGATCAAGACCTCACTCGGATCATCGCATCTGTTGACGGGGGTCTCTCGGGTGTTCCACTCTCATGCAACAAGCTTTCGTCCGTTTCGGACCTGTTTCGAGTGATCAACATTACAACCAACACGAAAATTCAATGGCATCGCTCACTTGTTTGCTTGAAAGCATTTGCAGCAGTTCCCCATTCCTGTCACGGTCAGTAAGTCTTAAAATGCTTCTTCTCCGCTTTTTACACTACCTTCCGACCAGCCTTGATGATTTGAACCCCGCAAGATCAATCAACCTTGGCAAAAGCTCTTGTTCTACAGGCAAATATCCTCAGCCTGGCTGGAATCATCAGTTAGAATCCTCGATTCTGATGTGCACCACTACTAGACTATTCAGCTGGGAGACTCAATCGAAGCCACGCAAGGCAGCTAGGATCACCAAGTTGAATTTAACTCACCCAATCCTAGCCCCATTTCCCCCCCCTCCCCCCCCTCCTGTTTCTTGTTGCCTCTTCCTTCGCATCTCAAATCGTTCTTTAACACTAAAACACCATGTCTCCTCTCTCCTCGCCAAGCGCTCCATCGATGCAATTATTTCATCTCTTCTCGATTTCCTTGCTCTCTCGCGCAGTCAAGCGCTTCCGATCCTTACCTCTCTCTCGCCCTGCTCTGCCCCTCCCTCTACTTCCAGCCTCCTCTGTCGACATCATGCAACCATTTCCCTCCTCCCCCCCCCTCCCCCCCCTCCCCCCCCCCCTCCCCCCCTCCCCCCCCAAAAATGTTCTCCCTTTCCTTCCCCTCCCTCTCTGCTTCTAGCGCATTTCCGCGGCCAAACTTTTCCCATTGCCTGTACGCTACCTACCCCCACCACCGTTCTCCACCTTTCGAATCCTGTTCATAACCCCTCATAAATGACCCCACCCTCAAAAAGCTTTTCAGTTTTGACCCCCCACCCCGTCTTTCTATGCTGACCACCGTCTCAGACCAATATTCTGGTACTAGGGGTCCCCAAATTTTGGGAACAATTACCCACCCCATTCCCTATGGAAGTACCCCACACTTTTTTTTTTATACGCCTCCTTGACTACCCTCGTTCGTTCCACCCCTGCCCCCACCCTTTCGCCCCACCCCCCATCCCCACCCTTCTATCCCCAATCCAAAGACCTACCCCACCCCTTGGTTTAAAGGGCGATGAGGGCTGAAGAAAGTACCCCTTACCTTCAGTACCCCTCATCGTTGCCTACCCCCACCCTCTTGAAGATACCACCCTACCACCACAAATATCTCAATTGTACTAGTTTCACCTCCACACGAACCCTCTTCAGTCCACTACCGGGTCAACCCTCTACCCCACCCACCCTCACGGACCCGTAAATAGCTTTGGAAATGGGGGTACAAGCTCTGGGGCAGGCCTGTTTATTCTGGAAGCGCCGCAACTTCGACTGCTGGCACTGCCGCTCCGGCGGCCCCGCGGGCGGGCCCGTCGCCGATGGTCCGGAACTTGACTCATTCAATGTGAAGGCCGCTCGCTGAGTCGGATCAGTGGCGGCGCACTGCGGCGCACTGGCGAGTCATTCAACATCTGAAAGCCGGAAGGGGGGTGGGGGGTCGGCTCACGCTCAGCCCGCATGCTGGCCGCCGGCGACCCGGACTCTCGGACGTCACTCACAGCGGCGGCTCGCCGGAGTCGGGACACGGCATCCGATCCGAGGCACCGTGTGAGGACTCCGGGCCGTAGCTCAAAGTCTCAAAGTCTCAAAGTCCCAAAGTCTCAAAGTCTCAAAGTCCCAAACGGTCTCAAAGTCTCAACGTCTCAAAGTCTCAAAGTCTCAACGTCTCAAAGTCTCAAAGTCTCAAAGTCCCAAAGTCTCAAAGTCTCAAAGTCTCAACGTCTCAAAGTCTCAAAGTCTCAACGTCTCAACGTCTCAAAGTCTCAAAGTCTCAAAGTCTCAAAGACGGTCTCAAAGTCTCAAAGTCTCAAAGTCTCAAAGTCTCAAAGTCTCAAGTTTGGGGTATGCTCCCTTCTGGAAGGGATCAAAAAATCTTTCCTCCCCCTCCACCCCACCCCCCTTTATCTGTTTCAATCAAGGTCGATTGAGGGGGTACACTGTTCTCCAAGTTCCCACTGAGAAATATCCGGTAGAGGTTGCCATGGTATCGTCAGCATCCACATTTTATATTGACGAAATGTCTCCGCAATAAAATTTCAATAAATATCAAAGGATTCCTCATTAAAATATTGCCTTTTGCAAAGAGCCTTGCTGTAAACTTCGGTTTAGTTTACTCCATTTTGTGAAAAGTGTGCAGGGCGGTGACCCCCTTCGGGAAATGCAACTGATGAGATACAAGGAGCGATCCCCCACTCTAGGACGAGGGGAGGTAGTGAAGGAGCAAACAAGTGCGAACAGAGCAGAGAGAAGAGGAACAGAGAGAAGAGGAACAGAGAGAAGAGGAACAGAGGAGCAGAGAGGTCAAGAGCAGAGAGAGGAGGAGCAGAGAGGAGGAGAGCAGGGAGCGCACTGAGAGCAGATAATTTAGAGAATGATCAGATTCAAGTTAAGAAAAGTACCGCATTGAGGTACATATCCGATGAGAATCAGAACAATTCCACTTCTGTCTCAAGAAGCTCCAAATGAACCTGTATGAGGATGACAAGACACCCTAGGAAGTAAAATGTAACGGAAAAGGCACTTTTGCTGAAGTTGTCAAGGAGAATGACAATCATCTCCCATGTGGAGCGGCGAAAGTTGAACTCATGTCATCAGTGGCTTGTTTGCGATGAGAAAGAAATGTCTGTTTTGTGCTCGAGGGTTTGCAGGAGGAAGGGCAAGTTGTGTTAGAAATGAAACAGGGTAGGAGAGTAACAGGGAAGGCAAAGGAGCGTTGTGGTTGAAGTTGACAACTTTCTTCCCTCAGATGGTCCTCGAAGACAGGTCCTACTCCACGCGTGCTGAAGACATCATCAATGCCGTCCAGGCTGTTGATGATGACCTGTCGAAGCTGGCTCTCGACGAGCTCCCAGACGACCAGGATGAGGAGGTGGAGGAGACTGAGACTGAGACTGAGACTGAAGTTGGAGGGAAGAAGCAACGAAGCTGGCTCGGGAGAGTGGGGAAAGGGATCTACAGGAGGAGTGTGAACCTCGGGAAAGCGGCGGGGATTTATCGGACAAGAGGCAGACGAGGAGGTGAAGGAGCTACAGGCGATGATCCAGTCATGCCGCTCGCCGCTGGCGTA